TGTTTTCTGTGAGCACATGGCTTGTGTTGTGTTTGTTTGGTGCCATGTGCTCTCTCCTGTCTATTGTCTTGCCCCGCCCATCTTGTTACCTCATTATTGTTTAAGTTGCTCCACCTGTGTCTCCCTCATTAGCCTCCTCGTTTAGTTTCCTATTTATTCTCCTGGTGTCTGTAATCCTGTGCTGATCCGTCGTTTTTCATTGAGTGTGTTATGTCTGCATGTAGTGCAGTTCCTAGCCTGCCTGTCTGTTTTTCCCCCTCGGGGTTGTTTTAGTTTGTTTTTGTTTCATTTTATTATTAAAAGAAAGAACCATTCATCCTGCACTTGAGTCCTCGCTTCATCTCTCCACACGTACCGTGACAGAATGCTTTTGGATTCTCAAGACATGTTTTTGTTTGTTTTTTGCAAAGTGAGCGGCATCACATATCGTTAAAACAACAATTACGATATTATCACAGACAATGAATATCACACACCCCTATTAGAGCCACATATTAAAATCAGCTCATGCACTGGAACTGGACATAGAGTGTGGGTTGGGCTGCAGTGCAATGTGATAACCTCATGTGCAGGGCAGGAGAGATCTTGCCTCAGCAGTTTTACTCTAGTATTGCGTGTTTTACCCACCCTGTCTGCTGGTGCTCTGGATGGACTGATGCTGAACATCTTAGACATGTCCTCTGAGTTTCTCTGCTGAGCCACGTCACACAGTTTGGCCGTGATGTCGATTCTCCTGCAGATGTCCATGTCCACCTTCATGGCTTTCTCATGAATCTTGGTGTCAAGGTCGGACATTTGCTGAACAAAGATTCAGGCAGTGTTAGAAAATGAAAAGAAAACTCTTTCTGTACAGATAATGAATTTATGATGCTTGAGAAACAACATTAACAGTTGCAGTGTCATTAGATTTGTGCTTAGTCAGGGTGGATTTTGTCTTCAAAGTTTGGTCTATGAACGTCAGTCATTTTTTAAAAAGCAATAGTCACTTTATTTTCACTCCTATGCAATTGTCCATGAATTGTCCATATTATGAACTATAGTATGCACTATACTATTATTCTATAACCAGTGACAATGACCTAATTTAAATATCAAGTATGGTCCAAACAATTAGTAAGTTAATCCATTAAAATATTAACTTATTTTGAAAAAAGTGTAATATAAAAAAAAATAATAAAAAAAAAAAAATCCCACACACCACTCAAACCTGCTTAGTAACTAAATAACTTTAAAGTACAAAAGGAATCCACAATATAAAAGCAAACAATCTGAACAAACGGATCAACATCTGAAAATACCCTAGTAACAATTATATTTAAATTATAATTACATTTTATTTGGAGTATCACTTTTGCACAATACACATTTCTTAATATTACACCTGATTTAATGTCACTGTAATGGCATATATATTATTGTTAATATTTAAAAAAATAAACACAATATTTTAATAAAAATGTAAAATAAATGTTGTATATCTGTTCAAATGAAAAATATTATTTTTAATTTACAATGAATGTTATTATTTTTAAATAAAACATTGAAAATAATAATTTAAAAATACATTTTAATATTTTAAAAATAAAAACAAATGTAAATATATTTTTAAATAAGTATAGCTCACTCTGTTAAAAATAAAAAATATTGATATACAAAAACAAATGTATTTATTTATTTTAAATAAGATCACTCAAAAAAAAAAAAACACGCTACATAAACAACTAATCGTTCAGCTTGGTTTTCTATACACTACACACGAATAAAAATGAAAATTCAAAAGAAAATACTATTGTCACCAACTAAATATTTTTTTTTAATTTCAGGAGTGAATTGAGTTGAAAAATTCAGTTTTTGCATACAACTGAACAGTGTTTAAACAGCATTAAGTGACAATTGCATTTAGCTGCAGTGTGCGAGTGGCCATATACTGTAGTTATGCAGATTCAAACTGAGAAACTCCGAGACATTCTCTTAACAATAACACACTATGCCACAGGATTACTCTAAATCATGATAATCTTCATGCTGAACATCAATTATAAGCTGCCAACAAGGACATCGACACATCAGTCATAAATCAATGCCACTGCACACAGATGCTTCGACCAACAAGTTAGTCTTGTGGTAAATCCACAGGCACGCAACAAACTTGAGCAGTTAATTTGACCTAAAGGCCTCATGGGAAACAATTGCTCTGACTCGTTTATTCTGTATGGAGAAGAGGAGGAGTCAAAAACATTGACTCTGTTTGTTGTTTCTTAATTAAAAACGCAACACATTTAGGGCAACATAAGGAAGTTTATTTCAATTCCACAGAATAAAAAAAAAGTAATTGGGACTTTCTCACAATTCTGCCTTTTCTTCCTCGTAACTTTGAGTTTATATCTCACAATTCAGACTAGTTTTCTCACATTTGAGGAAAAAGTCAGAATTTTGACTTCTATATCCTGCAATTCTGGGAAGAGAACTTGTATTCCGAGTTTATAACTTGCATTTGTGAGATTATAAACTTGCAATTCTGAGAAGAAAAGTCTTAATGTGAGATTATAAACTTGCAATTGTGATAAAAAAAAGTCATAATTCTGACTTTTTTCTCGCTATAGTGACTTTATATTCTATAATTCTTCTCAGAATTGCACATTTAAATCTCTTTTAAATCTCTCAAACGCAAGTTCTAAACTTGCAATAAGACTTTTTCTCAGAATTGCAAGAAAAAAAGTCTGAATTGTGAGATAAAAAGTCGTGATTACTGTTTGAAATTTTTTATTCCATGGCGAAAATAAGCTTTTATCGAAACAGATGCGCGTTAAACAAATCAGGGCAATTGTTTTTCTTTATTAAACTCAATGCTTTTACAGATCACGTCTTGCATTCTCTCTTACTTTCAGGTCCAGGATTTTCCTCCGGTTCTCTACAGCTTTAGAGCGGCGGCGTCCGCCAGCCTTTACAATAAATAGTGATTTCAGTTCACAGCTTTTATTGCTTCAAAACTATTTATGATTTTTACGGCACACAGTGACACTCGTGTGAATGACTGGCTGACAGATGAGGCAATTCGAAAGCAAAGATGAGTAAACATTAACCCGTAAATCCAGGTGACATCTGCATAAACGGTTTATTCATTCCTCACCATCCAGACCAGCCGGTACAAATCGAAGGCGTGTATGCGTGAGATAATGATATAATGACAATGAGACTCAAAACAGAGCTCTGTTTGTATGTGTATTGTCTTAGCTCTGTGTTTCTGCCGGAGGGGAAAAAAACCAAATAAGGCCGAGCGCGTTTCTCTGCTGTCAGGAAACAGAAGTCGTGGAAAATAACCAGTCACAGGGTTTGCTTTAGAATTAGGGATAGTTCACCCAAAAATCTAAATTTGCTGTTAATTTACTCACCCTGGTTCTTTCGGGCAGTTTGTTTCTGGTTCAGATAACCAATTCACCTGTTTGTTTACGTACTAATGCATATAAAGTATAAAAAGTGAATAAACTAGTCTTAAACAACTCCCCTTTTTATATAAACCATGAGAAACGATAAAAACTTTAAAGGGGTCATATGATGCTGCTAAAAAGAACATTATTTCCCTTCATTCAAGTGCTCGGTTCACACATGCATATTTCAGCAGCTCATCGGTCTGCGGTTTGAGTCGAACTGTTTCCTCAGTTCAGTGACTGTTAGAGGAACTGAAGCGCTGAAAGAGTCAGCAAAACCAGCATCTTATGATCATATATGTCGGTATTTCGGCTCATTTGAGTCGGAGTGACTGTCAAGCATCTGAAAGTGAGTTTTGATTGAGTAGGCCTAACTTGTAGATCTGTGCTGCTCCAGCCGCGAACCGTTTCATTCAGTCCGATTTAGTGAACTGATTCAACTAGTTCACCAAAAAGAACCGGTTCAAAAGAATGATTCATTCGGACATCACTCCGGACGGTTTGCCTGAGGCTCTATTACAGGTAATAATGTTGTAAATAATGTTCAGTTTCTTGCACAGACTGATCGTTTCACTTCATAAGACCTCAGTATACTGTCAGTAGCGACGGGTGTTAATTTTGTGTTCCTTGATATGCTTTTTTATTCTCAAAAACTGAATGAATGGATCAGCAAGGATTACGGATTCAGCTAAAAACCTTCTTTACTGTTCTACTGAAGAAGAAAAAAACACCTACATATTTGGTGGCCTGAGGTTAAGTAAAATAACAGCCTGTGTCTCTTTAAGCTATTTAAGACCTGATTAAAAATGCATTTATTTATTTCATTTATTTATGATTTAACGCCATGTCAGGAGCAATGGCTGTATTCATGGCAAAAACAATTCAACTGTGACCTGATTAAAAACTCAGATTCTTATCAAATCTGGTAAAAACATAATCCATCATCCCATAAATACTGTTTCTTGGACTGAAAACATGTTGTGATCTCATGATGTGATAAAACTAAACAATACTGATCTTCATAATGAATAAAAAAAAACAGATTTTGACTGTCTTCTCTGAAGAAAATGTCTCAAGTCTCTGTGATATTTTGGTCTCCAGATATGGAAATACTCACATCGCTCATGAGGCTCTTGAAGACCACCAGTTCAGCTTTCAGTCTTTCGACCTTCTCGTTCAACTCGTCCTGAATGGCTTCGGATTCGTTTACATTCTGAACACACCCAAACACAAATATAGGCAAACATGAGTACACAAAGCAACATAAGAATACATGAAATAGTCTGTATGTGATGACACTTTTAGCAGCAAAAGTAGTCAAAAGAAGACTTTTCTGCTCACCGAGACTACATTTATTTAGTCAAAAATACTGTAAAAACACTAATATTGTAAAAATAATATTTCATTTTAAAATAACTCTTTTCTATTTTAATATATTGTAACATTTAATTTATTCCTGTGATGCAAAGTTAAATTTTCAGCATCATTACTCTAGTCTTCAGTGTCACATGATCCTTCAGAAATCAGCCTAATATGTGATTTGCTGCTCAAGAAACATTTCTGATTATTATCAATGTTGTTGTGCTGCTTCATATTATAGTGGAAACTGATCATTTTCATTTCAGAATTATCTGATGAATAGAAATGTCTTAATAAAGCTTACAGACAGATCTTGATTTTAAACATGATGCCAGTGCAGCACAACAACCCAGCCTGAGCACAACACACACTCTCCAGTCTAATGAAATCCCCACAGCGGCGGCGCTGAAGGTTTTAGAGGAAATCCATACGACTCAAAAAGCAGGCTCTGAGCATGTTTGGGATCTCTGGGGACGCTTCTCTCCTCGGCGGTTTTGCTGACCCATAATCCAACACAAAGATGCAGCCGTTTATTGATTTTCCCGCTGCATCAGCAGAGGATGGATCTCACACCTGCAGCGCGTTTCTGAGGGAATGTGGGGAGTTTGAGACTGACATGGATGCGGCACTGGGCCATGCGGACATATTTAAACTCGGAAACTCCTAAATGCATTCCATTTACAGCCCTGTCCCAGATTGTTTGAGGTCTCACACACACACAGTAGTTTATATTTGCTCAGATCACATGTGGAAGAAGTTGCTCATCATGTATTTTAACATGATGGCATGCATACTCACACACATTATAGGGGTCATTTCAAGGAACACCAGATCTAATTTTATCATTTAAAATAAAGAAATTCAATGCAGTTGCTATGTGGTTGCTTATTATTTAAACTTTAACGTCTCTTGACTTTTGACTGCAGACTTGGATCAATCTGAGAGGAAACTGAGACATCGTTGAGATCTCTTCTAAGACTTTAAAGGAGAAACATAAGAACCAATACAGCAAAATTATTTGTCAAATTATATATATATATATATATATATACACTCTAAAAAATGCTGGGTTAAATACAATACAACCCACATATGGGTAAAATAGGGACAAACCCAGCAATTGGGTTGTTTTGACCCAGCAGTTGTATTTAACCCAGCATTTTTTAGAGTGTATCCTCATATGTTTTCTGACCATTATTATATTTATATTGTCCCAAATACTTTGGCCATGCATTCACTCAAAACTATTTTCTTGCCCCTGTATGTTTTCAAATATATTTTCTATTTTAATATATTTATATTTCCCAGAAATACATTTTCACAAATAGATTTTGCATTCAATCAAAATGTATTTTAAGACTGGAAATGTATTTGTATTTTCTTGCTCCTTGAAGTAAGTTTTCTAATATTTTTCTAATTTATTTTCTGGCCATTTTTATATATGTTTTATGTAAAGTTATAAAAAAATTTCAAAATACATTTAAAAAATACATTTTGCTATAACTCAAAATGAAATTTTACGATTGGAAAGTATGACGTATATATTTTCGAATATATTTTCTGTCCAGTTCATTTTAAAATGTATAATTTAATTTAATTTTCTATTTATTTTTTTTTATTTTTACATACAGATTTTTAGATCGGCCCTTTGAAGTATGATTTCTAATATATTTTAGCATTTAACCTAAAAAGAAAATTCTGTCATCATTTACTCACCCTCAAGTTGTTCCAAAGCTGTTTGAGTTTCTGTCTTCTGCTGAACACAAAAGAAGATATTTTGAAGAATGTGTGTAACCAAACAGTTGACGGTTGCCATTGACTTCCATGGTATTTATTTCCATACTATAGAAGTCAATGGGGACCCGAAACTGTTTGGTTACCAATATTCTTAAAAATACCTTTGTGTTCAACACATACAGGTTTGGAACAACATGAGGGTGAGTAAATGATGCCAGAACTTTCTCTTTAAGCTGTGCTGTTTACTACAACAATCATATATTCCACATATATTTTGACCAGAAAAATAATCTTATTTGTGTTTTGCATTTGTAGTTGGGCTACAAACATGTTAAATACGACGCTTTAACTGTATAATGTCAGTATTCCCCTGCATCATGATATCTGGATGTCATAGTTTTCAGCTACAAGGTTGTAAAGTGAGAAACCCACGTCATATAGATGACAAATGTAATTAGTATCACAGTGAGAAAGTCTAGACGGCTGGTGCGCATGTGAGCTCACCTCCTGCAGCGTCTGCACCATCAACTCCATCTGTTCTCTTCTCGACAGCTCCTCCTCCCATCTGCAACACACGGGACACACCTCTGATGAGTCTGACCATCACACTATGAGCCATTTTATATCATGGTAACAGTGCAGAATTATGTCATATTTTAACTACTTTCCTGTTATGGCAACAGTCTCAAATCCTGCTTTGGTGGAGAATCCAATGAATTAAATACTTAAACACAAATGAAAGCTACTTCATTCATCTTCATTCTTTCTGTATAGGCTGATAAGCTCAAACCACAAGATCAAATAATTCATAACAAATAAAAAGGTCTGACATCAGTGCAAAAACAGCAACCAGCAAAAAAATATATTTTTAAAGGGGTCATCATATGAAAAATTCACTTTTACATGTTGTTTGAACCGAAATGCACCTTGGCAGTGTGTACACAACCACCCAATATTACTAAAAATCCACCCAGTGCTTTTTTAAATCCCCATTTCTCAAATCAAGCCGTTCTCAGCTTCTTGTCTGTGTGACGTCACACAGACCCAGGCTCCTCCCACGATTGTTGATTGACACTGGTGTTTTACCTTAGACCCGCCCTGAGTGAGCTGTGAACAGTCTGCCATTGTTTCGACTTCGGAGCAAGGGTAGACAAGAATGACTCCTAAGCGATTGAGGTGTTCTGTTGTTGGATGTGATAATGAACATAGCAGTCGTCATTTACTCCCGACATCTGAGCCGCTGAAGACAGCCGTTTGATTTTGAAGGGAATGCGCCCCCCCGATCTACCTAAATGCATCTATGTTTGCGCGAATCATTCGTTATCCAGCCTCACCTACAGATGAAGTGAGTATAAGGTTTTTTTATGAATCTTTGCAAATCACCTTTCCTAATAGTTGTGCTAGTTAGCAAGTTCCGCAGCAAAATGCGGCTAAAGTTTACAGTCTCATGAGAATGGCTTGTCACCCCACGGAAGAGAGGGGCAGGGTGAGCAGAGCTCATTAATATTTAAAGGAACATGCACCGAAACTGGTCTGTTTTTGACAAGGTAAAAAGGGGGTTGTTTTACACTACCGTTGAAAAACCAAAGTATGTCATATCAGCTTGTGGAAAACCTCTTTAGTTCAACATATATTTACGTAAATACATATGTGCAATTTATACAATATATTTTGTGATCATATTGTGTTGAAGGCTCATCATATCTGTTCCTTCTCAGTCTCATTGATCATTCAGCTCAGGAATCCTCTGGTAAAGCCCCGGCTGTGCTCCTCTGGCGTCTGTGGTATGTGTGCCCACCGCAAGGTGTCTGGGACAGGGCAGATCTGTAACCCAATACTGTGCTCTGACTGAGAGTGGAAAACCAACACAACCAAACCAAAGAGTGGATTTGAAATGGGAATTGAAAGTTTTGTATGGGTCGGCAATATACCGGGCAATATTAACTGGTAGAAATTTGTCATCCAGTAGAGATTTTGAACTATCGTCTCCATCGTGGTTACACGCTCATGTGATGTTGCTGTGCTACGTGGCCCCAAAAACGTATCATTTGCACACATTTTTACGCGTTGCTGTTTAAAAACAAGTAATTTTAAGCCGCTGAAATGCAATCTGCAGTGAAAGCGAACTCATTTCGCTGTATGTGCGCGCACATGAAAATGGTGCTAATAGAGCACGGGAGTTTTGAACGTTATTTTTGCCGCTTTATAGGCCTTGAACGGTTAAATACACACACTTGTGTGTAAATTAAAATAAGGAAACAAGAAACCACAACCCAGACAAGCACTTCTGAAAGCACTAAAACCATTACTGTATATACAAGCATCATATATATATCTGCTACTTACAGGCTGCAAAGTATGACTGACAGCTGTAAAGAGGCAGTTAATCAAATGTGTAAACATAAATGCAGAACAGCGCTGTGCGCCAGAGGGAATCTTTCTACAGACAATCAAATCATTTCTGAAGCATCACTCTCTGTTGTTATGGCAACACTTGAGTTCACTACTAAAATAGCACATTGAGCAGATGAAGCGCTCGATCACATTTACTGCCGGCTCTGACCTGCTTCACCGTTATTACGGTGAGGTAAACAGTACACACTCGCTCCGCAGTGCTTCTGAATGAGACACAGGTCTATAAAGGATACAGAGCCATGTGATGTCAGCATACTAATTAGGGCACGTGAGAATCTCAAGTGAATGAACTGGAACCTGCCCTTGAGATAAACACACACACACACACACACACTCTCTCTCTTAAACGCACATCAAAGACACTTCAGCAAATCACATGCCATCACAAAACATTGCAGACCTTTGCTTTCCTGTTGCCAAAGAAACTGTGGAAGAAAATACACACTTAAACCAAGGAAACCTCTGAAAAATGAGCAAAACACACAGTGTTTGCCTCCTGAAAAGATCACAGACGTCCGGTGCTGCGTACTACCAAAACTACAGTCAATTACATTATACATACTGCCATCTATCTATCTATCTATCTATCCTCCATTCATTGTTCTATCATTCTAACCAACCATCCATCCATCTATCCATCTATCTGTCATTCTATCCATTGTCCTCTCATCCATCCATCATTTTATCTACTTACAGTCGTGGTCAGAATTGTTGGTACCCTTGGTAAATATGATCAAAAAAGGCTGTGAAAATAAATCTGCATTGTTTATCCATTTGAAAAATGGGGCGAAATCTCATTATGAAATAAATGTTGGCCACAATTAATGGTACCCTTTTATTCAATGCTTTTTGCATCATCCTTTTTCCAAGATAACATCTCTGAATCTTTGCCTATAATGCTTGATAACTTTGGAGAACACCTGACAAGAGATCAGAGACCATTCCTTCATCCAGAATCACTTTACCAGCTCCATGTTGGTGCTTCTCCTCTTCAGTTCACCACACTCATTTTCTATAGAGTTCAGCTCAGAGGACTGGAATGGCAATGACAGAATATTTGTTTTGTGCTTAGTGACCCATTTTTGTTTTGATTTTGATGTTTGTTTTTGGATCATTGTCCTGTTGTAAAATCCAACCTTGGCCAATTATAAGATTTCTAGCATGGACAGTCAGTTTTAAATTTTTTATCTGTTGGTATTTAATTAAACCCATGATGTATCTGAACAAGATGTCCAGGACTTACAGCAGAAATATAGGCCCACAACATTAAAGATACAGAACTATATTTCATTGTACACATGGGGTACTTTTTTACTCCTGTGTGCACCAAACCCATCTTGAGTGTTTGCTGCTAAAAAGCTCTTTTTTTGTTTTTGTTTGATCTGACCATAGAAATCAGTCCTGTTTGAAGTTCCAGCAGTGTCTGGCAAATGAATATGTTGGAGTTTGTTTTCGTTTAAGAGCATTTTCTTTTCTTGATTTTTTTCTTGAAACCCTCCCAAACAACTTGTGATGATGTAGGTGTTGTTTGAAATTTTTTTGAGGCTTTGCAAACCAAAGACTCAACTATTTTCTGCAGTTTTCCAGCTGTGATCCTTGGAGAGTCTTTGGCCACTCAAACTCTCCTCCTTGCCTTGCATAAGGACAATATAGACCCATAGGCAGATTTGTAATATTTTGTGTTGATTGAAAATTCTTAATTATTGCCCCATTGCTGGAAATGGGGATTTTCAATGCTTTAGCTATTTTCTTACAGCCGCTTTCTAATTTGTGAAGCTTAACAATCTTAGAAAAGTAGAATAGAAAATAGAAAAGTCATGAAAATAGAAAACAGAAAAGTCAAAAGTTCAATTATGAATGGAAATATACTTTAGAGATATTTTACTTGTAAGAATTTCTAAGGGTACCAATAACTGTGGCCATTGTGTATTAGAGAAAATTATTTATTTCACAATGTGACCCCTGCCCCCCTTTTATTTATTAATTTTTTTCACCTATCATTTCTCTCTAATTTTAAGAATAAATTATGGGTAGGGATTGGGTTAGGTCTATATTTTTGGACAGTAATGTTGATCCAGGAACATGTCTTACTTGGCAAAATCACGGCGACTGGTGGGGGTTGAGAAGAGACCCCTCCCCCCAAACATGATTGTAAAGCGCTCTGGCTGTACAGCAATATACAATAAAGCGCTATATAAATGCCTCATTCATTCATTCATTCATTCAATCAATCCATCCATCATCCTGTTAATCTATCATCTATTGTTCTATCCATCTATCCATCGCTTTATCCATCTATTCATCCATCCATTCATCCATCCATCCAACCATCCTTCATCCATCCATCCATCGCTTTATCCATCTATTCATCCATCCATCTATTGTAACCCAGTAACCTGCTAACCTTCCGTACAGTCAAATATGACTCTGCCGCTGGTCACTGTATTCTCTCTCTCTCTCTCTCTCTCTCTCTCTGTCTGTCTGTGTGTCTGGACCGATGCTGATTGAACGCTGTTCCTAAAGTGCTGGTGTGTGAATCACACTGCTGCTGCTGCTGCAGAGCTCCGCAGGTCACTGGAGTTCATCAGCTGCATCAGCCAATCACGGCACAGTGCATCACTTCCTGCTGGATGCAGGGTGGCGTTAGCAGTGATGCAGAGGACAGAAGGACACAATCTGATCACAGTGGACAGTCTGGACATATAGGGTAATGTCTTACTGTCATTAGAATACATAATTATGAATTCTTACTGTCATTAGAATTCATAATTAAGCTCATGAATATTTAAAAATATAGCATTTTCATGTTTCCACATAATAATTATGTTTAAAATATATGAGAAGACATGCAGATCAGATTTCAGATATATGATATGTATCAGTCTTCAGTGTACATTTCTATGAAGCTTTATTTTTTCCTCCACGGGCAGAAACTGCAGTGTTGCAACAGCAAATATAGTCCACCATCAAGAAATGTTTCTTGAGCAGCAAATCAGAATATCTGAATGATTTCTGAAGGATCATGTGACGCTGAAGACTGGAGTATAGATGTTGAAAATTCAGCTTTGATCCCAGGAATAAATTACATTTTAACATATATTCACATAGAAAACCCTTATTATGAATTGCAATAATATTTCACAATATTAC